GGGGGATTAGGCAAGGGCATCCTCTTTCTCTTATAGCCCTAACTAAATAACTCCCCCTTTTTTGTTTTTGTCGTGTTGCTTGGCGACTTTCTGGATTTGGGGGGATATATATGGTTAGTTGTACATAACACATCATGGCCCATGCTTATATATATATATATATATATATATATATATATATATGGAAATTGTGAAAAATAAATTCAATTGTCTATATTAAATTTTTTTATGGATATAAGAGTTTATTATTATAGAATGTGACTAGTCTGGATCCTTTTTTGAAACTCAGAAAAAAAACATATTGAGATTGCGCCAAAAAAGGTTAGACAATAGATGATTATGCAGGTGCATAATTATTTTAAATTTTGGTACATAATTATACAATTAGGATCCTTGTATAAATATTAATGGCGAGTCTGTCATAATTTGATGACGCATTAGGGCATGTACAACAAGTTTACATTCTTCATCAACCTTTCACTTGTGTAACACTGCATAAATCATTTACATATATAACAAATATTTTTTCATATTTGAAGTAGCAGCAAATCTAACAATTTCAAATCGAAAAAAGCTAGAGATATTTAGATTTTTTTTATATAAATTCTAAGTATTTAATTTAATAAATCTAGTTTTTGATACATTTTTATGGAAACACAGTATTCTCCGGTGTTAATAATATAGTCACCAATATTTACATATAATAAAAAAATATTTTATTGTTATACTTTTTTTTAAAAAAATAAATAGAAAACATTTCCATTTTGAAATTTTAGTTCGAAGACTTTTTATTCTTCATACATATATATATATATATATATATATATATATATATATAATGTAACAAGAGTCAAAATCGCCGTGCAAAAAGACTCCCGACACGGTCACCGTCCGCGGAAAGCCGCGACCGAGTCACAACTCACAGATAATTCAACTCAGCCAAAGCAGTAACGCGAAAATAATAAACTTACGAAAAATGTGGTGCCACGTGGCATAAAATACTTTTGTTTGTTTTTTCCCTTTTTTTAAAAGGAATTTTTATGCATGGATCGAAGGAGTTTATAGTTTTTTTTTTTAATAATAGTTACATATCCATGTGTAAGCATGAAAATTCTCGACTATAATATAATTTCATCATATGCAATATTATAACGTATATTCAATTTCAATTTAGACCGAACTATACAAGTTACTAGAGTGTATACTTAACTATCGTATAGAGCCACTGTTATCATATACATGACGAATGCAGAAGCGATTATTTTTTGTAGCCATGGCCCACTATAGCCTTAATTCCCACTATGTTTTTATTTTGGGTATTAAAAATGCTTTGGATGAATTTGAATGTTTATATTGTGTTTATAAAGTTGGTAGAAAATAGTCAAAAAATTTCGGATTTTGATATTCGCAAGTACAAAATTGTTATCTCCCAATTCAAATACCCGGTTTCATGGATAAGGGATCAGACAATAAAATACATAAAATAAAAAACAAAAATCACTAATACCCGACCCGACACTCCCCAAGTCCTAATTTCAACAATTAATAGCCTTTGAAAAATTGACATTTTCATACGAGGGCCCTTGTGGGCTTCTTTGTTCAGCCCATTAGGTAGGCCCATGTACCCATTACCATCATACTGTGAAACCCATAACAATAAAGTCCATCTTAGTTAAATTAATATATTAGAAACAAAAAATCATCCGGAATATATGGTCCAATCGCAATAAATAAATATTTGAAAAAAATAAAAATACAGATTTACCGTAAACCCATATCTACTTTTAATCGTATTTCAACAAAAAAAAAAACACTAACTTCGAAAAATGAAATAATATAAGTTGGTTTGAGTCTGATGAAATTAATTTTTAGAAAGCTTGTATAAGTGTCAGCACAATTGAGTTTATTTACTTGATTCGATTTAATTAACTATAATTTTTGTCGCTAATATAATTTCCTACGATTTTTTCCCTTTTCTATCCAAAAATAAAAACAGATAAAAGAGGAATAATCTGCTTTCCTCCATTTTCACCGTGACCGCCGCTTCCACCGAGGGTTTTACAGAAGAAGCCGACTCGCAACCTGCCTGTCTTCGAATCGAAGCTGAGATGGCGAGAATGGTCAGGAGAATGGCTGCTTTCACAGTGGCTTCTGCTTCGAGTTTGGTTCAGAGTACTCACCATCGTCTGGGGAGATGTACTACTCTTAACACTTTCTCAGATTGTTCCTCTGTTTTAAGTTTTCGGAGACTGGCTTCTTCTGGTGTTGGAGACTACAGAGAGATTGAGATTTGGGTTTCATGGTTGTAATGCCGAGGATGCTGTGGCTTTGTTCGACCAGATGGTTCGGTCTCGCCCCTTTCCCTCAATCGTTGATTTTAATAAATTGCTGACTGCAATCACCAAAATGAAACGGTATGATGTTGTGATTTCTCTCTGCAAGAGAATGGAATTGCTCGGGGTTTCACATAATGACTACACTTTGAGTATTCTCATCAACTGTTTCTGCCGCTCAGGACGAACGGTTTTGGGCCTTTCGGTTTTTGGGAGAATCATGAAACTGGGTTACGAGCCTCATTTGATCACGTTCAATACCCTGATCAATGGATTCTGTATCCAAGGAAAGCTTTCTACGGCATTAATTTTGGTTGACCAAATAGTCAAAGACGGATACAAACCTAATGTTGTGACATACAACACTCTGGTCAACAGATTTTGTCGAGAGGGTAGAGTTTCTGAAGCTGTCAGTTTAGTTGATCGGATGTTAAAGATGGATTGTAAACCCAATGTAGTTACTTATAACACTATTGTCAATGGGGTTTGTAAGTCAAGGGATTATGCTTTGGCATTGAATATGCTCACAATGATGGAGGAAAGGAACATTGAGGTCAATGTCATCATGTATAATACGATCATTGATGGTCTTTGCAAAGGTGGACACATAGATGATGCGTTGAACCTTTTCCAAAAGATGGATAACAAAGGGGTTGTACCAAATGTTGTCACCTACAGTTGTTTGATAAACGGTCTTTGCGTTTTTGATAGATGGAACGATGTTGTCCGATTGTTGAATGATATGGTCAAAAGAAAAATCACCCCAGATGTTATCACTTTCAGTTGTTTAATCAATGCATTCCTTAGAGAGGAGAAGTTTATTGAGGCTAAAGAATTATACGAAGAGATGATCCGAAGAGGTTTAGTTCCGGATACTATTACTTATACTTTACTGATTGATGGGTTTTGCATGCAGAATCGTCTTGACGAGGCAAAACAGATGTTCGATTCTATGATCGACAAAGGATGCTTTCCTAATGCAGTCACTTTTAGTTGTCTGATAAATGGTTATTGCAAGTCTAATAAGGTGGATGAGGGTATGAAGCTCTTTCACGAGATGTCTCGAAGAGGAATGGTCAGTAATACATATACTTACAACACGCTCATACAAGGGTTTTTCCGAGTGGGCAATGCCAAGGTCGCCCAGAAACTCGTCTTAGAGATGCAGAGACAAAGTGTGGATCCTGATGTTGTAACTTACACGGTAATGCTTGATGGTCTTTGTAAGAATGGAAAACTAGACGAGGCGCTTGAACTGTATTGCAAGTTGGAAACGAGTGGGATTGATATCGATATATTTGTCCATAATGTTATGATAAATGGTTTGTGGAAGGCTGACAGGGTTGATGAGGCACTTCGATTGTTTAATAAGCTTTCCGTTAAAGGGGTTGAACCGGATGTAAAGACGTACAATACAATGATTACTGGATTTTGTGGAAAACATATACTCAATGAAGCCATCAAGCTGTTTAAACATATGAAAGAGGTTGGTTGTATGCCGGATGACTATACGTATAATCTATTGATCCGAGGTCATCTCGAAAGTGGCGATGTAGTAACAGTTATCGAGTTAATGCGAGAAATGCGAAGCTGCGGTTTTTCTTCAGATGTTTCAACCTTGGAAATGATTGTTAATATGTTATCGGATGGGGGATTGGAAAAAAGTTTTTTGGATCTTCTTTCTCAGTGAGCTGTAACGCGGAGCTTGCTTTCAGTCATGGTAGTCGTATGACAAAGAGGTGAATTCTTCTGTCCTGGATTTAGGCTTGGTTAGCTGTTTTAGAATTCATCACAATCACGTGGATACAACTCTTAATTTGTGGGTTTGTGGACCTTTTTATATCGACTGTACCTATAATCTGTTATCCTTTGCAATGCAGGGCACATTAAACACAGGAGTTCTTGTTTATTTCAGAAAGCCAACACATAATTGGTCAGAAATTGCTGCAGGTGAATGAGAAGATTGTGAGATGCTGGACGCGTTGAGTTCTTGATAAAGGTTTCTCAATGTGTGAAGTGGAGAGTTGGCTTCATAAAGGCATATGGAGAAATTGTCACAGCTGCTTTTCCAATAGGCTTGGAAATTGGTAATATCCCATCCTTTGTAAATGATTTATGATCTGAGAAGCACTTTAATGAGTGTTGGAGAAATACATATTTATAACTTGGTTGTCGTTGCATTGGCATTCTCTATCTTCCACGCATTTGTTTCTTTGTGTTACCTCCTGACACAATGAGATCTGATCTAAGGGTTCCAAAGGAAACTTACATCAGCGTTCGTGATGAGAACGTCTTTCCCAATCTTAGTGTTCTTATAGATGATACAGTTCCTGCAAAAAAAATAAAGAACAGAGATAAGAGAAGATTCTATATGACAGCAATGTTTGGTAGAGAATACAGTAGAGCTTTACCTGATTTTGGTGTCCGGACGGAGGCATATGGGAACCTCTCAGTGAGCCAAAAGGGAAACGATTTCGACTTCTGTTTGGTGGAAATCAGCTCCCATCATCATTGTATCCTGAAGAAAACCTTACACAATTCTCTCTCTCTCTCTCGTAGGTTTCTGTCAGTGAGGGATTTTTACCTGAAGCTCGACTCCCAGACTTTGAACGTGAACAGTGCGCTCCCACGATAGAATGTTGAACGCTACATTCTCTCAGGAAGCAGCCGCGTGAAACTATCGAATCCAGTATCTGTACTTGCACCCCAAAAAAAACAAGTTATGCAGATCAACAGTTCAGAATGCAAAGTATGGGAATCAAGAAGCATCGGCAGCCCGGTGTATAGAGCATCTCGGGATACAGGGAAGGGTCCCACCACAACCACAAGGGTGTTGTGCTCCTTGGGGGATTATTTCAGAACCAAAGTCGTTTGATGCTTTCAGCAAAACTTGTGTTCTAAACACGTAGACTCCCATCGAAGCAATGTATGGAAGTATCTATTGGAATATCCCATGATATCCTCTCATATCTCTGCTCCACTGTCCACCAGCCACAGACCGGAATCAAGGGGAGATAGGGCTGTGTGGTTGGCTCTCGGCTGCCACGGGGGAGGAGAAGTGGACCATGGGGATCCAGCTCAATCAGGAGCAGAGATCAGGCGGTATTGAGGGCAACGTTGGGCACTATGCCCATGAATACCGCAGGCCTGGCATCGGCCATTGTAGCCACGCGAGCGACCACCATTGCCACATCCTTGTGATGAACGAGTCCAGGGACCACGTGTTCTTCCATTGTCGCGGAAGGATTGATTGGGACGAGAATCTGTAGCATTGGCCGTGACGGAAAAAATCAAGGAAGCTGGTGCAGCGGCCGAGGCAAGCTTAGCTTCATGGTTAATGAGCTTTTCATGAAGCTCTTGAATCGGAATGGCAACATCTTTAGCGTGAACCATATCGACTACGGGCTTGTAGTCTTCAGGAAGACCATCAAGGACGGATTCGAGGGTATCATGGGATATTCCAATAGTATCAACCTGCTGAAAATGCAAAAAAGAAAAAGAAAAATACTTCTTAAATAAATTTAAGGTTTTAAACTTGGAAATTGGAAAGTTCATTTCAATTTCCGATAACTTTTATTTCAGATTTTTATAATTCTGATTTTATGAAATTATATCTATTCCTTTTTTACACTGATTTGAGTTTTTATAAGGATTCTCTTTTCTGAAAGAAAAAAATATTTTATTTATTTTAAAGGTTTTTAATATTCGCTCTTCAGTTCATTTTATTGAGTTTGATTCTGATTAAATTAGTTTTAGAAATATTATATATATTTTTAGAGATTCAATTTGGTGGTTTGCCCTGCAATTGGATTTCTCTATATTATTAAATATTTGAATTACGTAGAGTGTAATCAAAATGGATTTCACAATTTCCAATGAAACTTTTCCATCTCAGTCGCATGAAACAAACAAAATATTAAAAGGAAAAAAAAAACAAATAAAGGAAGAAGAATCTGCCTTTCTCCATGTTCACCGTGACCGCCGCTTCCATCGAGGGTTAAGCCGAGTCGTAATCTGCCTGATTTCTCATTCCGTCTTCGAATCGAAGCTGAGATGGCGAGAATGGCCAGGAGAATCGCTGCTTTCACAGTGGCTTCTGCTTCGAGTTTGGTTCAGACTCATCATCGCCTGGGGAGAGGTACTTTCTCAGATTGTTGCTCTGTTTTAAGTTTTCGGAGATTGTTTTCTTCTGGTGTTGGAGACTGCAGAGACAGATTTAGATTTGGGTTTCATGGTTGTAATGTCGAGGATGCTGTCGCTTTGTTCGACCAGATGGTTCGGTCTCGTCCCTATCCCTCCATCGTTGATTTTAATAAATTACTGACTGCAATCACCAAAATGAAACGGTATGATGTTGTGATTTCTCTCTGCAAGCGAATGGAATTGCTCGGGGTTTCACATAACGACTACACTTTGAGCATTCTCATCAACTGTTTCTGCCGCTCAGGACGAGCGGTTTTGGGCCTTTCGGTTTTGGGGAGAATCGTGAAACTGGGTTACGAGCCTCATTTGATCACGTTCAATACCCTGATCAATGGATTCTGTATCCAAGGAAAGCTTTCTACGGCATTAATTTTGGTTGACCAAATAGTCAAAGACGGATACAAACCTGATGTTGTGACACACACCTCTCTGGTCGACAGACTTTGTCGAGAGGGTAGAGTTTCTGAAGCTGTCAGTTTAGTTGATCGGATGTTAAAGATGGGTTGTAAACCCGATGTAATTACTTATAACACTATTGTCAATGGGGTTTGTAAGTCAGGAGAATATGCTTTGGCACTGAATATGCTCACAATGATGGAGGAAAGGAACATTGAGGTTGATATCATCATGTATAATACGATCATTGATGGTCTTTGCAAAGGTGGACTTGTAGATGATGCGTTGAATCTTTTTGAAAAGATGGATAACAAAGGGGTTGTACGAGATGTTGTCACCTACAATTGTTTGATAAACGGTCTTTGCGTTTTTGATAGATGGAACGATGTTGTCCGATTGTTGAATGATATGATCAAAAAGAAAATCACCCCAAATGTTATCACTTTCAATGGCTTAATCAATTCATTCATCACGGAGGGTAAATTTTTGGAGGCTAAAGAATTGTACGAAGAGATGATCCGAAGAGGTCTAGTTCCGGATACTATCACTTATACTTTACTGATTAATGGATTTTGCATGCAGAATCGCCTTGACGAGGCAAAACAGATGTTCGATTCTATGATCGACAAAGGATGCTTTCCCGATGCAGTGACTTTTAATTGTCTGATAAATGGTTATTGCAAGTGTAGTAAGGTGGATGAGGGTATGAAGCTCTTTCATGAGATGTCTCGAAGAGGATTGGTCGGTAATACATCTACTTACAACACTCTCATCCAAGGATATTTCCGAACGGGCAATGCCAAGGTCGCCCAGAAACTCTTTTTAGAGATGCAGAGACAGGGAGTGTGTCCCGATCTTATAACTTTCGCGGTAATGCTTGACGGTCTTTGTAAGAATGGAAAACTGGACGTGGCACTTGAATTGTATTGCAAGTTGGAAACGAGTGGGATCGATCTCGATATATTTGTGCATACTGTTATGATAAATGGTTTGTCGAAGGCTGACAGGGTTGATGAGGCGCAACAATTGTTTAATAAGCTTTCCGTTAAAGGGGTTGAACCGAACGTAACGACGTACAATACAATGATCACTGGATTTTGTGGAAAACGTATACTCCGTGAAGCCATCAAGCTGTTTAAAAACATGAAAGAGGTTGGTTGTATGCCGGATGACTGTACATATAATCTATTGATCCGAGGTCATCTCGAAAGTGGCCATGTACCAACTGTTATCGAGCTAATTCGAGAAATGCGAAGCTGCGGTTTTTCGTCAGATGTTTCAACCTTGGAAATGGTTGTTAATATGTTGTCGGATGGGAGATTGGAGAAAAGTTTTTTGGATCTTCTTTCTCAGTGAGCTGTAACGCGGAGCTTGCTTTCAGTCATGGTAGTCATATGACAAAGAGGTGAATTCTTCTGTCCTGGATTTAGGCTTGGTTAGCTGTTTTAGAATTCATCACAACCACGTGGATACAACTCTTAATTTGTGGGTCTGTGGACCTTTTTATATCGGCTGTGCCTATAATCTGCTATCGTTTGCAATGCAGGAACACATTGAATACAGTTATGGCAATTGGTCCTAGTAGAGTTCTTATTTATTTCAGAAAGCCGACACATAATTGGTACTACACTTTCATGGCTCTCCACTGTTTTGGGTAGTTGATGTGTCTGGTGCCTCTGCTGTCTTGTGGGTGATGTTTTGTCTAAACTACTCTAAAGTGGGTCAAAGCTGACAGATAATTTATCTCTGGTAAGTCATCCGATTGTTTCTAGCGGTTTCTAACTTTCTGTTCTGCAATTTATTACGTTCATCAATCGTGGAAAACTGCTGCAGGTGAATGAGAAGATTGTCAGATGCCGGAAGTGTTGTGTTCTTGCTAAGGTTTCTTGATGTCGGAAGTGGAGAAGTTGATGTTGGATTTGGTCGATCCACAGATGTCCAAATGGTTTGTGGTCTGAGAACGAGCGTTGGAGATAGACATGTTTTATAATTTGGTTGCCATTCTCTGTCTTTCACGCATTTGTTGCTCTTTCATTACTCACTGATCTTAAACACAGATCTAAAGCTTTGGGAAGAAAAAGAAAAAGGTTAGTAAATATATGAATCACCGATCCATTGACAGATAAAAATTAAATATATCTGAATAGTGTCTATTAAACATGGGAAGTAAGTACATTATCCTTTTTCAATTTGAAAACTCTTTAACATTTGTTGTAATTTTCATTTAAATGTACAAATCCCGATTCAAATCTGGGAAGAGAGAAAAATCTTGAAACCGAAGTGGAAGATGTTACAAAAAAAAAGATTATAATAGCATTATTTTAAAAATTCGAATATTCTTTGATTTTTTTTTAATTGTAGTTAAATGGTAGTAAATCTGTGAGAAAAGCATGCACACGTGGTCGGGCTAATGCCAATTAAGCAAAATCTGCATGGACGCCGCAAGAATCTCGTCTCTTGTTTTATTACAAGGTCAACTACCGGTCTTCCTCTCTCTCTCTCTCTATATACATATCTCTTATAACCAAAACGAAATTGTTAATCATTTTATTATATTCATTATGATGATAATCTTAATTAAATCGAGTAATATACAATGATATTTAACTATGTTTTAATTTAAAATCGATTACTCATTGTTTTAGAAAACGAATTATGGTTAAAGTGATTTGATTTGAATGACTCTGATTCAAATTATTAGGTGAGACTGTTGATATATTTTCCCATATGGCACACACACCTCATAGGATCAACAAAAAACATATATAACCACATCAGATTAAGAATCCATTTCATGATTACGGAATTTATGATTATAAATTATTTCTCTAAAAAATCACATATAATCGTGCTCTTGTCACTTTCCCACCACGTTTTATTTGTTTATTTATGTTCGGACATCATTTACTTAAATCATAAATACGCTTCTTTATTTTAGAGACATCACTTTATGGAAAAAAAACACCGTAAGGGACTTGTATTCAAACTTTATTATATACTAAAGTTTAAAAATTACAAACGTATAGTATTATTTCACATTGTTAATTACGTTTACAGATACGGAAATAAAAAAAAAATGATTTCAGTAGGATCTCTGTCAGAAATTCGAAAAATCTAAATTAAATTCACAAATAAATTAATTAAGAAAACGTAACTTCAAATTCAAAAAATTATATAAAATAAGGAAATAAGACAACATAAACAGCTTCACCTTATCACCACCACACAACCACATAGAACCTTCTTCCTTCGTCTTATTATATCTATCGATCTCTCTGTGTCTCTTTCTTCACTCTCCCATCCCTCCCAAAAATCTTCACTTAGTTTCGTGAACTTCTTCTTTGAGAGCGATTTCAATGGCGTCGATTAGTTCATCTGATCGTCGAATCTCGACGAGTAAAAGACGTTTGAAGCCGCCATTGTTGCTTAGAGATTACCTTCTCGATGATCTCAGCTCGTGTTCGTCCAACGGCTTCAAGTCCTTCCCTCGTCGACAATCTTCCTCCTCCACCGTCCGATTACTCCTCGATGCCGAGATCAAACGGTCCAGACTCCACCGCAAACGCCGCCTCTCCAGAACCAGGACCACCTGCGGGACGGCGCTCGGTCACGCCGTACAGAAAGCGTCGATGGCGTTAGTTAACGCCGTTAAGATGTTGCCGTTTCCTTCCACCGTCAAACTTCCTTCGCCGACGGTACGGAACAAAAACGGCGGTTTCTCGAGAAGCTTCTCGAAACGGCTTTTGAGCAGAAGCTTCTGGAGATCATCGTCCGATGACCGCCGAGATTCCGGTGAGACTGATCGGAGAGTGGAGCCCGAACGTGACCCGGAGATCCAACGGTGGAGATCGTTCGGGGAGTTCCTCCAAGAGAGCTTAGATCAACCGTCCGATCAAATCTCCGTCGCCGTCGCCGTCGGAGACGATGAAGAAGTTTCCGGCGAGTCTTCGTCATCGAGCAGCGGTGGCTCGGAGGTTGTGCAGTCGTCGTCGTCGTTGTGGAGCGGTGAATCTGAGGAGTCGAACGAAAATGACGGCGTGGAAGAAGTGGTCGAGGAAATGGTAGAGGAACATGTCGGTGACGGAGGTGGTGTCAACCGCAGCAACCTCTGTACGGACGACAACCGAAAGGTTAGTTGTTAAAGTGAGCGACTTCGCGTTGTTATTCTCTGCTTCGCAAATCACTGTTCGCCGGATTTCTGACCGTTCGATTTTTCACCAACTCATCAATCGTAACATAACAATAAAAAATGAAATTTAAGTTAGATGATTTTTTAAATTATTAAAATATTTTTTAAAAATATGACGATTTTAGATTTCTTAGTCTTTTAGACGAGAGCTACGGGGTCAGGTGCGGGGGGGGGGGATTAGATTTTGAAAGTTGTCGGGAAGCGCGTGAGAGTCACGTGAGGGGTATATATCGGAGAATGGAAGAGGGAGTAATAAGATTCTTCCACGTGGCCTCGAGTGCCGGATCATGCGGCACGTGATCCCGAGAGAAGTATCTCTCTCGTTTCATGCCATGCTTCCTTTTACCTAGGTCAACTCGGTCCTCGTTATTTCAAATCATTTATATAATCATAAATATTCTATTATTAACAGAAAAAAAAAGAATGATATAATAATATATCAAAATGATACGACAAGTAATGTGGAGGGTGGGGACGTGGGCTATAAAGCCAATAAATGGAGTTACTATATAATTTAATGGGAGGACAGATGTAATGTTGTTTTCATGGCGTGGGTTTTGACTTTGCCAACTCACTTTGGTCCCGACTTATTCACTCCATCTCTGGACCCATCTTCTGTCTTTTTACCTGTTTCCTGTGCTTCCGCATATATTGATTGTTCATTGTAAAGATCACCTTTTTTATTATTTTCCCGGTTCTTACGATACAGATACGTATTTAATTTGTTAATAATTACTGATATTTGCATAATTTGTTTGGAAATGGTAGGAATGCGCCAATGAAGAGAAGGAACAATTTAGCCCCGTTTCTGTGTTGGAAAACCCCTTCGAAGATGAAAATGATAATGCTCGTGGCATGACTTCTCCTTCCGACCAAGAAGGTAAATTCATGCATTATTGGCACAGAGAGAATTTAGAAAGAAAAAAAAGTAATATCGGGATTCTAATAATAACAATGAAATATATATATATATATATATATATTAGCTTTTCAACCAACACAACACACATGAAATTTATATTAACGTTTATTTTCTTATTTTTGACGATTCAGTTAAGACTAATCTTAATATTATCGGGAGTAAATGACCCCAATGCTGTTAATCTATTATCGTTACTAATATCTAAATAATATATGGTTACATCGTTAAGTATTTTGGGATAAAACCATGGTTTTTTTATAAATAGTAGGCGACATAACTACATTTTTTTTTGGTAAAGACATAACTACATCTTCAAATGATAAACATTAAAAAAATGAATTCAATTATCTATAATATATTTTTATGTAGAAAACAACATATATAAATAGGGTGGTTGCACACTTGCACTTGCCCCCGGGGTGCAACTGTCCTCAAAGGATACAACAAGTCTATACAAAAACCTTAACACTTTTAATTTAACGTCTTAGTTTTTAATGTTTTTGGTTTCTAACATTGCAGAAATCAACGTTAAACTGGGAAGAAAAAGCCGAAGATTCAAGGGTTTGGTAAGAATCGAGCCAGTGGACTTAGAGAAACGAATCGAAAGGCACATCGAAAACGACGAGAACCAAACACGTGGCATTATTATTACAGAAGGAGGTGACGACGACGTGGTCGTGGTCGAAGGAGAGAACAGAGCGAACCACTTGTTCGCTCGGTTGAAATCAAGAACCGACGGACAGTTCTTGATCGACTCGTACTCGACCAATCTGCTGTCGGATTTTTTCCAAGAAGACGGGAACGAGGAAAGAGAGGACGAGACATTGGTGAAGACAGCAGAAGAGTGGGTTTTGGACAGGCAAGAGGAGATGTTCTTGAGCTGGGAAGTGAAGGAGAAGAGAGGGATTTACGTGAAGGAGATGGAGATGGAGAGGAGAGAGAAGTGGGCTTGCTTCAGAGAGGAGAGAGAATGTGTTCTTGAGGAGTTTGGGAATGGTTTCTTCGCTTCATTGGTGGATGAACTCGTTCTTGATCTCTCTTCCTCGTTTTGATCTTTTGGATTTTTCATGTTTTTAATTTTGCCATGATTTTTGTTTTTAGATTCAAAATAAGACATTGTTACACAAAAGTTATGGTTTTCTCCTATAACTATCATGTGTAAATTTGGAATTTTCGGGTTTTAAAAAACATATCTATTCATATCGTCTGCATTCAATTTTCATTAATTTTTTTTTGTTTGCCTCAATGCTACAATTCTATCAAAATTTAGATTTTTTTACTTAAAAAATTATATTTATTCGAATCCATTCATATTATATATCCAATAAAAATGGGCCCAATAATATGGGTTACGAAAGAGTACATAATATGGGCCTAGTAAACACTTGGGCCGGATTTAAGCTTTCCGCTTTTTCCCCCTTCATTTATTTTATACGAAACTATCGTATGATTTTTTTTACACACCGAATATTTGGGCCGAAACCTTGTTACGAAAAAAATATATTATTTTTTAAAAGTTTATCTATTTTTTTAAAGTTTTTCTATTTCCTATTAGAAAATAAAATTTCCTTCTCCACGGTTTCCAATTTTCAGTGTTTCAGTTTTCCTTTTGACGTGGCAGCGAATTTATTGCATTAAGTTCATACTAATAAATCTTTCAAAAAAAGGTCAACGATGTTAGATAAAAATGTTGACTTTATGCATCAAAAACTTACCAAATGAATCGTGTCTATTTTGTCAGCCCTAATTTTAAATATATAATTGAGTTACTTAAATGGAATAATACCAGCTTTTTAGGCGACAGCTTCATTAAATGGATCTGCCTTCGGTTTGGTAAAATTCCGGTGCCCAAGTACAAACATGGGCCGATCTGGGCCCACACTACGTGACTATTTGCCACGTGGCGCAAGATGGGAAAGTCGAGGACCGATTCATTAAAACGACGGCGTTTCACTCTGTGAAGATCTTTTTTTTTTTTTAATCATCTCGCGATTAGTTTAGAGCCCTCCTTATTGATTCCGTTAGTTGACGACGGAGACGGACTAAAGATATTTATTATACTGACATAAAATAAATATCAAGTCCTGTATTACACAATGGGTCCGTGCCTGAAGGAGAAAAAAAATTTAATTTATTTACATAATTATTATTAATGCTATAGTGTACTTTTTAAAAATGGATAAACGAGCGATATCGTAGCTTATATATATCATCTTATTTTATTGCCTTAAATCAAACCGTTGACCAGTAATCACATATTCGATATTCCCTTTTTCTCGCGAGAAGATTACTTCCTTTGTCCTTACGAGAAAAATCGAACCTGTTAAAGGAAATTTCAGAGGATGCCTATAAGTTATTGAACTTTACGAAAAACGCCTAAAGTTTTGGTTTGTGACAAATAGCGCCCACTTAGAAATTCAAGGTAAAAGTTTTTAAAATGTGTATGAAAATTATCTAGCTGTTACATTTTTCGAATTTTGTCTATAAGTGAGTATATTATTAGTAAAAAACACAATTATATATGAAATTGTATTTGAATTTTACTAAAATAACACCCTTTGAAAAATCCTTAGATAACTTTTTATTTAATGAAATCAAAATTTTTAAAAAATGTAAAGAATAAATATTTTGTCTGGCGTAAGAGTTTCTGTTCGTATGGATTGTCTATCCTAACTATTTTATAAATCTATTTTATATTTTTTAAAGTTTATATATTATTACGGCTAACCACAACATTATATACAAAATTAGATTTTAATATGCTAACCTAACTTTTAAATATTTCGTGGAATCATGATTTAGCTAATAGATAAACCATATGTTATTTTGAAATATTTAAAAATCATGCCATACTCGGAACTATAGCTAGAAACTTGGTAGTATTTGTTATTGGGGTCTTTAAGAAAAGGTGAAGGCTTGATGGTGAATTTATACAAAGTTGGAGGTTTTCTCTGAAAATTCTCTCTTTTTTTCCCGGAAAAGAAAAGGAAAGGAACCCATAGAGAAGAAAAAAACGTGTAGCGAGTGGGAGATCACGCGCCTAGACTTAGACCCGTCTCTCCTTCGTGCTTCGTCTTCCGTTTTTAAAACCCCTCTCCCTCCTTCCAAAACCGCTCTGTAATTCTCTTCTCTCTCTCTCTCTACCTTGAAGCTCGTAATTACTTCATGGAGTGAATTAGAGGGGAATTTAGTTTTGTTTTTCGGATTTGTTTTTTGGATTTTCGGATGCCCTTTTGGGGTTCTGGATCGGATTCTCCTTTTTCGTTGAGCTTTTTTCATGCGATCGATCCCTTGGGACGTACTATATTGACTGGGGTTTTCTCGTAACTGTTTGTTTCCCGGGAAAATTTTTTCGGAGAAAAAAAAATGAAGACTGAGGAACAATCGAGGTCTCTATTTGGAATCTCGCTGTCTGATCGACCCACTTGGCAGCAGTTTCTCATCTGCACTTCGGGGTTCTTCTTTGGTTATCTCGTCAACGGAATCTGTGAGGTTCGTCCCTCGAATTTGATTCTGAAATTTCAAAGGATATAACTTGATCCTAATTCCCACCATTGTTACCGTTTTTGGTGAAATGTTCAAAAAAAAAATAAAATTCTTGGTTATGTGTTGTTGATCATGCATGTGAGGTGCTTGCTGTTTGGTTGCTCAGAAAATGCAGGGGAAGATGGAAAAATGAATGAGAAACTCTGTCCCTTCAAACATTCACACACACACACACAATATATATATATATATATATGTATACACATATGTCCAATCTGCGCTTTATTTTGATCGTTCTCTATAAGAGAATCTGCTCCTAATATATTTTCCTGATGAAACTTATATCGGGTTATAATCAAATTCGCTTCTTGCTACGAATCTATAACGACAATGGTCGGTATAGAGGAAAATCAGTAAATTATATGTGTATGTTCCTCTAATATCTCAAACCATAAGCATCTAGACAGGAATTTGCATTCAAACACTCTCGATTCTTGATCATTGAAATCCTCTCGATTCTTGGTCATTGAAATCCTATTTCTTCTTGCTAGATGCAGAGAATTCAAGAACAACGTTGGATCTATAACTGTTATTACATATCTTAAACACAACTTGACCTCGTTTTTCTTAATGTGATTATTGACTTTGTTGTTTCTTTTGGTTACAGGAATACGTGTATAATCGCCTTCAGTTTAGGTAACTTCAGCTTAATTAATTCCTTGTAAATTGTTCCTAACATGTTCTTGCAATGAGCTGGATAAGTGATTTATAACAATGTAATCTCTTGTTTTTGTCATTGTCTTTTTGGTCTTTGCAGCTATGGCTGGTATTTCACGTTCATACAAGGATTTGTGTACTTGTTCTTGATTTACCTTCAAGGCTTCACGGCTAAGCAAATCGTGAACCCGATGAGAACCTACGTGAAGCTATCGGCTGTTCTAATGGGGTCACATGGATTAACGAAAGGGTCGTTGGCTTATCTAAATTATCCGGCTCAGATCATGTTCAAATCCACCAAGGTAATGTGCAATGTCACCCTCCCCGATGTTCAAATCATTGACGACATTGTCAATGTCCTGAAAACCGGTCAATCTGATTTTATCAATTCAAGAACAAGATAATGAATCCCTTTAGAATTTTCTTGATTTCAAGTATAAGATCGCCATTATAGGATACATTTGAAGTAAGTAGATCTGATCATGGTTTTGGACCGCCTGTTCTGGTTTTGGAAAGAAGACATCTGAAGAGCATAATGTGAAGGAAAAGTTATAAACCAATTCGTTTGATCTTTTTGTTCTTTTCATAGGTATTGCCGGTGATGATAATGGGAGCGTTTATACCCGGGCTAAGAAGAAAATACCCAGTTCACGAATACGTTTCAGCATTCATGCTCGTGGTTGGTCTGATCCTGTTTACCTTAGCCGATGCCCAAATGTCCCCAAACTTCAGTATCATCGGGATTTTGATGATTTCTGGTGCACTCATCATGGATGCTTTCTTGGGCAATCTTCAAGAAGCAATCTTTACGATGAATCCCGACACAACTCAGGTCACAAACCGAGCAAAAGACCAGTCATTTTGTTCTTCAAATTGTTCAGTTTGTCTTAGATTTCAAGTTTTGTGGACAGATGGAGATGCTTTTCTGCTCGACTGTTGTCGGGATGCCCTTCTTGTTTGTACCAATGGTCTTGACAGGAGAGCTTTTCCGGGCATGGAGTTCATGCGCACAAGTAAGTCATCCGTCTGCTTTTACATAGATCTGTATAGTTTTTTTCCCTCAATAATCAGATCTAACCTTGGTTTAGAAAATAGGAACTGTCGGTTTCAGTCCTAAAGTCCTGAACTGAACCAGCATTTGGTTTTCGGTTTTAACCCTTAAAAAATTCAAGAACCGGACAGATTCTACCAGTTCAAGTCCCGGTTTGATTGGTAGTTTCAAGCCAAACCCAAACCGTGGCCGGTACGTTAAGGAAAAGTCAATTTTCTTGGATTCACAATAAGTGTTTAAGTCAATTGTATTGACGTGCCGAATCTGCTAACTTAGTTAGCAACTTTCTATAGAAAATCCTTGATTTCATTATGAAATAGCACATATGTGCTAATATTATATTACGTGAGGTAGGAAGTCCTGTTCTTGGTACCGGATGACCCGGGCCAGGCTGGTGTTTTATAATATTTGGTTAGTCCAATTATATATAATAGATATCTCAAGGACTATTATAAGTTTATATACCTTGAGATTTCAAAGTGACGTCCCAACAAGTTGATTTAAAGATTGTTCATTGTACTAGGGTTTATGCTGAATAATGTATTGGTTTTTCCGTTCAATGAATTAATGTGAATATATATACACACACTAAGAGATTGGATCAAATCAGGAAACTAAACTAGATTTTTATTAAATCGATATATATATATATATATATATATATCATAATATGTATATATCTCCAATAATATATATGATATCTTATACTTGAAATCATCAAGCAAATTCTGAAACTTGGAATGTGTGATGCCTGCAGCATCCGTACGTGTACGGAGTGCTCGTGTTCGAAGCCATGGCCACATTCATCGGCCAAGTCTCTGTTTTATCCCTCATTGCCATCTTCGGTGCCGCTACTACCGCCTTGGTATCCACCCTATAATCCATCCTCGTCACTATATATATATATATATATATATATATATATCGATTCTTCGACACATTCGTAACCGTTCGGTGTTACTAACGTTTATTAACGGATGATATTTGCAAGATAACGACGGCTAGAAAGGCGGTAACGTTGTTGCTGTCGTATATGATATTCACGAAGCCAATGACGGAGCAACACGGGACGGGTTTGCTGTTGATAGCGATGGGGATAATACTGAAGATGGTTCCGATGGAGAGTAAGGCTCCGGCGAAATCCACGGCGGCTAGGGAGATGGCAGTCGCCGGAGAAGGTGGAAGGAAAGATGATGAAGAAAAGAGGCCTTTGGTATAAGGAGGATGTTTTATTTTTATATAGGCTTTTTCTTGTTATATGTAAACATCACACAATGGTCGAAAGGGTCTGTTTGTAACCCTTTAATCCAGAAAGAGGGTTATAAATGTAACCCATTAATTCATAGTTCTTTAGAAAAAAAAAACAAACGAAGAAATAAAAGAGGAATGTTAGTTCTTTTGGCGAAAATGGTATTTTTTAGGGAAAAATAGTTTTATATATAATTTATATCTTATTTTTTTAACCCATTAATTCTGGTTTATATTTATTTATGATTAAAAAAATTAATTATATATATATATAAATTCTTTATTTTAAAAAATAAAAAATGTCGTACTATAATTTTCTATTTAAATATTATAAATTATGTATTGTTTATATTTACATTTAGTTGCTCAGATGAATTCTATAGATTTGTAACGATGCACGGTTGTGAATATTGTACGATAAAAGTACAACATGTATCCAAAATAATCGTGAACGAGATAACGATATTAGGATGAGTGTAGGAATATTTAAGAATAATTCAAAATGAGAGTGTTATAGAAAAATAAGATGATATCTATAAAAGAGAAATTACTTAAAAAATGACCATATAAATGTATATCGATAAATATTTCGATTAGAAAAGTAGAAAAAAATAATATTTCTCTATAAATGATTAATAATGATTTTAAATGATTATAAATTTTGAGTTTCAAATTGGAGAGGAGAGTCTAATATGATTTCGGGATTAGTATGAATCTCTGTACAGCAAATCCAGTTACCAAATATATTTTCTGAGAGAAAATGTTATTTTTATCTTATATCAACAAGTTAATTGTAACATATTGATTTTTTTTTTTGTTTTTGTTTGTATCTAATATTTTGAAATAATTTAACTATAGTCTATACTGAATCTCGAAGCAAAAATAGTTATTTCTTTTGGATGAACGATTTTAAAATTAATATTTTCAATAGGTACAGAAAATAACATTTTCAGTAAAATCCTAAAGAAAATATTTTCTATAGAGTAAAGAAAAGCATCTTTGTTTTATAAAGTTTATTTTTTTTTCCGATTAAACCAGAGAAAGCAAAACCCTACTGATTTGATTTGCCCCCTTTCCGCAGCTCCTCCTCTCCTTTACGCCTCCTTTTCTTCTCCGTCGACAAAAGCCGCCGGTCGATCATGAGGGGTACGAAACGCGCTGCCGTCTCCGACACATTTCCGGCGACAACGAATGATGCTCCGGTGAGCGTCTCTCCTCCCGTCTCCTTCCCCGATTTTTCTTTCGTGTATTATCGATTCCGGTTTTGTCGAGCGATTCTCGTTTTGCGCAAATGAATGATGTAGCTGTATTCGTTGAATCTTCTGTTTCCAGTCTCTGGAAACTGGGCCCGAAGAGAAAATTTGGGAACTTTTTGGATTCTTACTGGGTGATTGGCGATTGGTTTGATCGTTCTTTGCTTAGTATAGGTGGTGGTGAAGTGAGTTACTTTTTAGCTGTTTTGTATAGATTTTTGGTTGAAATGACCGAAGGCGGTAAAATTTTTAACGACAACTTGTGGGCATTGATCCATAATGATACGGGATTTGGTTCAGGCTGCTTCTCAGTGTCTTCTTAGCCGTTGTTTGGTCTTTTTTCTAAGGCGATAATATGCTTTGGAGCAATGAGTCAATGACCAAGTGAAGGGACTCTTCTATTTGGGCCTTAATTTGTCTGATGGATATGCTTGCCTTCCGTTAAGTAGTAGTAACGGTGATGAAATGTTGGTTATTGGATATTGGAATGCCG